TGTGAATCATATAATTGGACGAAAAATATTTTTGATACTAATTTGTCTAGCTCCTGTAATTCTTATGATTTAAAAAAAAAATTGTATTGAACTACTTATAAAATAAGTAACTACAAATAACATTTCATCGGAGTTAGTGCACTGAAGTTACGACATGCATTTACAAAACTATGTATATTCTACACTATATGTATGGGAAAAGTATTATCTAGGTCTAGTAAATTGGGCTGACTTATTGTTGCTGTACCTACTTTTATAATATAAATACTAGAGACCAGAGGAACTCTTAATCAAGTTAGTTACTATTTCGAGTCTACTAAAAAAAAAAAATAAGTAACTAATTTATAAAAAAGAATGGGAATAGGAACGCTACTAAAACTTGACAACCAATAATTTAGGCAACATTATATTTAGAGATTTTTAGACCATTATTTAAAACACCAGTTCAGACATAGTTAATTAATCAGCTGCTAGATTTTGAATAAATCTCAAAGTCAATTCCCAGATTCTGAATAAATCTTACAGTAAATAAAAGGTGTTCCAAGATTTGAATTGTGCACCATTTTCATTCGGAAGAGTTTGTAGCATTGTGCAGGGTCAGATATTGTAGTAAACATGTAGCGGTTAGACAAAATGGAGCGTTATCTGATAGATGAGTCAGTGAAGATTGTGAAAATTCATTAGGAAAAGAACAGACCAATCATTCCACCGAGACGTAAAATCCACACCACACACTTTGGGTATACAGGGTGTACCATTTAACACTCCCGCTGCCAATATCTCTGAAATGAAGAAATTTATTTTAGTTTCGGAAATTGGGGTTGTTAGGCCCCTCGAATAGCTTCAAATTAGAGTTAGAATTATTAGTTCAAATCTTACTGTATAGATGGTGTGGCGATACCAACAAATTTTTTGTTCCCTGGAACGTGGAAATACAGTCCATCTGGAAGATCGTTACATTTTGAGTAATTTTTATAATATAAAGTTTTTCCCTATATTTACTTGTTTTTGAGATATGTCGACTTCAATATGCAATGTATGATATAACAGGAAAATCTATTATTTTATTTAAATCACACCGAGACAAAATATTCTTTTAAAATATTGTTATAATGGCTTTATTCACATCACACACTAACTAACAAACAATAAATTATAAAAAAACAAAAAAAAAAAATTGTACAATGGTAAATCTTATAAGGGTCCGAAACGAACCGCATTTTATCAAATGTAATTAAAACATGCAGTCACAGGTGGCTCATGTCATTTGTTTAAAATAAAACAATGACAAATGACACATATTAGTTTTCCAATAATTACAGTTTTATCAGTTTGCGTCTTTCAATTTAACTATACTTGTTATATGATTTACCATTGTACAATTTTTTTTCTGTAGTTGATCATTCGTTAATTTATTTGTTAGTTAGTATGTGATGTGAATAAAGCCATTATAACAATATTTTAAAAGAATATTTTGTCTCAGTGTGATTTAAATAAAATAATAGATTTTCCTGTTATATCATACATTGAATATTGAAGTCGACATATCTCGAAAACAAGTAAATATAGGGAAAAACTTTATATTATAAAAATTACTCAAAATTTAATGATCTTCCAGATGGACTATATTTCCATTTTTAGTATCGCCGCGCCATCTATACGGAAAGATTTTAACTAACAGTTCTAACTGCAATTTGAAACTATTCGAGGGACCTAACAACCCCAGTTTCCGGAATTAAAATAAATTTCTTCAGTTCGGAGATATTGGCAGCGGGAGTGTTAAATGGCACACCCTGTATATACAGTGGTCTTTCTTGAATGACCCGAGGGTTGCCTCTGCCCCAAATTCGACTTTTTGCTTGTTCACATACCCACTAATATGAAAATGTGCCTTGCCTTGTCATTAAAGACGATTTTCTGCAAAAATCACAGTGTGCATGTTTATTGTACAACATCCAATCAACGAATATTCGGTGCATTAAATGGTCATCTGGTTTCAATTCCTGGGTTATCTGAATCTTGAATGGGTGTAGTTGCAGATCTTTTGTTAAAGTCTGTTGCATAGTGCTGTTTGAAATGTTTAATTGCAGTGACTGACGGCGCGCCGAGGTTATGGGAATTTCTGCCGCATTATGACTCACCATAGCAATATTTTCGGCTGAATGGCCAGTATGAGGCCGGCCTATTTTTTTTTATTGTCTGCAACTGAATCTGTTCAACTTTGGCAACTATTTCTTTCATAATTGTTTCATTCGGGGCGTTCCTTCTACCGTAATTTGCGCACAGTCTCAGCTGCACACTTTCCTTACTTGTGATGAATTTGGGCAATTTTCACTAGCCCATTCGTCACATAGCGCTCCATTTTGTCTAATCGCAATGTGTTTACTACAACAAAGTATCTGCTCAATCTAACAATTAACTAAACAAAACTTTATGAAAATTTGGAACCCTAAATATTCGTATTTATACAAGGTGATTTATTAGAACTAGAAAATAATCAAAAGTAGATTAATCTACCATACAATCAACCACCTCTTAATTCTATATTTTGTTTCAGATCTAAATTCTCAATGTTACTCTTATGAACTTATGAAGTGATATTTGATAATAGGCAGATGATAAGTTAAGGGGAAACGAAGAACCAGTCGCCAAACATAAGTCACCTGCTATAATCATATACAGGGACTTATTTAAGAAAGTGGAAATGTCATGGAATATAAAATTTAAAAAACATACCTTAAGAACAGTATACAGGCTTTTACAAATTCACTTCTCACTACAGGAATCTCGAAAACGGTAAGAGATATAAACTAGCTTAAATAGGGGCAAAGTTGCATAATCAGGGGACCAACATTAGCCTCTAAAAAATCAAGGCTAACATGATTAGTTTTCGAAATATTTGACAAAAAACCGAAATTTTGGAAATCCGTTTTTGTTTCATTTCAGCCTTGTTTGAGGTGATATTGAAAAAAGAAGAACACTTTCTCGTGGCCTCATTTTGCCCTCTATTGAATGGCATAATCAATTTTTATATGTAACGTTTCGTCTCTCCAGGACCATCATCAACTTCATTTTTTTAAATACGACCCTAGAAATTTTATTACATTTTTTGCAAGCTTTCATGACCCCCAATACGAGTACTGTACTGCCTCAGCCCAAACCAGATTCAGACGTTTTGTCTCAAAAAATTCATCTTCAGTGTATTCGTTCCAAATTTATCTAAATTTTTTATTTAGATTTCTTTGTTTATTGAATTATCGTACACTGTAAGTATCGTTAGACCCTGTGAAATCCATCTAGTTATTTAAACTATTACCACCACATATTAAAATAAAAAATTATTAGTTTTATTCCTGTGTCCATAATTATTTCTAGGCTTCTCGAGTGCTTAAAATTCAAACAAATTCCGATCAATTTTTTTTCAGGATATTCATGCAAATACATCAAACATGCTCTTTCATAGTTGCGGTTACAGGTATAATAAATTCCGATAATATTACGTTTATATTCATTTTCAACCGTTGCCAAAACGAAAATGTTTTTGAACATTTACTGAAATTTTTTAAAGAATAATATTCAGTTGGTGTTTTGCTTGTTCATATGCATTTTTAAGAATTAATCTGTCATAATAAAATTAAAATTGCAATAATGTTTTAATTTTTACGCAACAACTTATGTATTGAGTTATGTATGACCAAGTGATGGTAATAGTTAATAATAATAAATGTGTTATTGTCACGCGTGTTGGTAACAGTTTAAATAACTAGATGGATTTCACAGGGTCTAACGACACTTACAGTGTATGATACTTCAATAACCAAAGAAATCTAAATAAAAAATTTAGATAAATTTCCTGGAGAGACGAAACGTTACATATAAAAATTGATTATGCCATTCGATAGAGGGCAAAAAGAGGCCACGAGAAAGTGTTCTTCTTTTTTCAATATCACCTCAAACAAGGCTGAAATGAAACAAAAACGATTTCCAAAATTTCGTTTTTTTGTCAAATATTTGGAAAACTAATCATGTTAGCCTTGATTTTTTAGAGGCATAATGTTGGTCCCCTGATTACGCAACTTTGTCCCCATTTAAGCTAGTTTATATCTCTTACCGTTTCCGAGATCCCTGTAATGAGAAGCGAATTTGTAACAGCCTGTATTGAAAAAATAATAAATAAATTACAGTCTATATAAGTATTTGGGGTATTTGAGCCAGTCACTTCATCAACTGAATCGGTGCTAGACATAATTCCTCCACGATAACATAAAACCATTAGAAAATTAAACCATGAAACAATACTATTATATGATGTGAAGTCTGTGGAATGTGTAAAGTATATGAACACATACCACAAAAAGACAGTTTGTTGTCTATTACCGTAATAAATAATGATAAATGTGTAATTTGTAAGATTTAGGCCCGGTACTTTGATTCTCAGTTAAAGCTTGATTAATTGATCAAGCGATTAGACTGTACATACACCGATTTATTTTATAAATTATAATCACAGTCTAATCACCAGATTAGTTAAACAAGCCTTTACTGAGACTCAAAGTACCGGGCCTAAGGCCTACAAATATTAAAACTTTTAAGCAATTGTCAACATTACTTTAACTGATCTGGTAATGTACATTATAGACTCAGTAGTAACAATAAATAACAAATATGCAAATATTAAATGATTTATAACTGAAGCCTTGGACCAAGATCAAATGTCATGATGTCACGAGACATGAAATTCATTTTACGACATTGCCTTTTTACAAATTAGTGGTTGTCATGTCACAAAACTTTTTTATTACTTCTATCACATCAAACATTATTTTTCCGTAAATATTAGGAAAAAATATTTGAATATATCCCTCTATTAGAAATGAGTCATTCCCAATTTTTGTAAGAGCGCCCATAAATTGTAATTTGATTTCTGAATAAAATTATTCTAAAATCTTACAAATTAAATGGAAATAGTGGAGTATACATATCCTTCCAAATATACTTACGATGAAAATGTTATGAAGAATTGTTGTAAATTCAATTTGGGGTACTGACTAAATGATATCTGAATCCATAAAGGTGGTTGAAAATCATACACATATACATAAAAAGTGGTCAGTGTAATATTATCTTCTATGCCAAAATTATAGTCAGTTTTGGAAAACCTCCACCTGAATGTAGTACAGTTGAAATTTGTATGTATAGGTATTTCTTCTGGCGAATTTCCTTTTCGTATAGTTATATTCATCTTTGCTAATACAGAACATGTTATTAAAAAATCTGCATCAATATCTGCTTTAACAGGAGAATTTCTAAAATTTATTTGGGTGTAATGTCTATCTTCTTTCTTAGAGAGATTGAACGTAAATTGGTAGTCGATAGTTAGGTCATCTAAAAAAAAAAAGAAAAAATTATACATAGAATGCAAAGAATGCTACCATGTAAAGAAGAAACGAAACCTCTAAGAGAACTCGTTTTTTAATCTTTTGTTATTATTCTTTATTTATTTATTTACTGCTAGGGTACATTTTTTAAATAAAATTAGTCGATTATAGTGGACGCAAATAATACAGTGCGTTCATGATGAAAAGAACAAATTCGTGATAATTATTTTGTGGAAAAATGCTTGGACACGTTGATTAGTATTTTTAGTTGCGAATTTTTGACATAAGAAGATTGTATACAGGGTGTCTCAAGAAGAACATACGCAGTCATCATTGAATTTTGTTAACGGAATACTCTGTACATTATACCATTTTTGAATTGTACGGTAAATTTTGAACAATTTTTGTATAACACATCATATCTCTAAAATCAACAGTTTTCATAATAATGACATTTGCAACATGACAAATGGAAAAAAAATTAATGTTTAATCATAAAACATTATTTAAATAACAATTGCTTTATAACAAATGTTCAATGTTTTGTCCGTTTACTTCAATACATTTTTGTAGTCGAATGATTTTTCCCGTTGAACGTTTTCAATTACCTCTGCTGGAATAAGTCTTACTTCCTGGTGTATTCTCTGTTTCAGGTCATCAAGATTATTTGGTCTATTCACATAAACTTTAAATTTCAAATAAACCCATAAGAAGAAATCTAAAGGGGTTAAATCCGGTGACCTTGGTAGCCACTCAATAGGACCTCTTCGTTCAATCCATTTATTAGGGAAAGTTAAGTCAAGAAATTGTCAAACATGAATTGCAAAATGAGGAAGTGCCCCATCGTGTTGTCATTATGAGGAATATCCGGAATAGGAAACACAACAGTTAAAGCAGTGATGAGTTCAGACTGAAGAAAGTCTAAGTAGGGTTTTCCATTTAAATTTTCTTCAAAAAAATAAGGTCCAAGAATTCGGTTTTCGACAATACCTGCCCAAACATTTATTTTTTGACGATGCTGAGACTTGTGTCCAATGAGGATTTAGTACCTGCAGTTTTGTCTGTTTACCTGTCCATTTAAAACAAAAGTAGCCCCATTAAAAAAAATAATTTTTTGGGTGAAATCTAAGCTTTGATTATTCATCTCAATTATCTGCTCACAAAATTGCGTTCTTCGGTCAAAATCGTCTTCTAATAGTTCATGTGTCAATTGAACCTCATAAGGATGATATTTATTTTTTCGGAGTATTTGTGATACAGACCCAGATGACAAATTACAATTCCTGGAGAGTGTCCTAATGGCTACATGGGGATTATTTAGTTTATAGTAAAACGTCTAGTTTAGAATCTTCTTAAAATTTTGCTGGTCTTCCATTAAGTAAATCTCTAACGTGGCCGTCCTCAGCAAATTTCAATTCAATTTTGCTGACAGTAGATCTAGTAATTGGAGGTCGATCAGGCTAAATTACATTAATGCCCCATACTTTGAGTCTCAGTTAAAGCTTGATTAACTAATCAGGCGATTAGATTGTACTTATACTAATTTATTTTATAAAAGTAGAATCACAGTCTAATCGCCTGATTAATTAATCAAGCGATTAGACTCAAAGTACCGGGCCTAAATAAATTACACATTTCTCATTGAATAGGTACGCACTGTCTCCAAAACCAATCATCATAAGTACTTCAATAGGTTGTTTTCTCAGATAAATGCATTTTTAAAATGAAACGCAAATGTGACAAAATGACACTGACAAATTAACGCGGGTGATAGTTTGGTTCTGATTGTCATAAAATACTACATCAAAATGGTCTAGGGGTCAAGATATGAAAAACAATTAATACGAAGAAAATTGTTTTATTTAAGATAAAATTTGGCATACCAGGTTGTTTTTGTTGGCTTTTAAAAAAATGTTCAAGGTTGTTAAATTTAAACATTTTATTTATTTATTTGTGTGTATTACAAAATATCTATTTTCAAGTCATTATTACGAAAACCGCTGATATTAGAGATATGGTATGTTATACAAAAAGTGTTCAAAATTTACCATACAATTCAAAAATGGTATAATATTCAGGTGTTCCATTAAACAAAATCAATGATGACTGCATGTTTTTCTTGAGACACCCTGTATACAATTTTCTTATATCAAAAAATCCGCAACTAAAAATACTAATCAACGTGTCTGAGCGTTTTTCCACAAAATAATTACCTGAATTTTAAACAAATTTGTTCCTTTCATCATGAACACACTGTATAGACAATATGTAGAATAAAATAATATTTGAAGGTGAGATATAATAACAAAAATAGAAAACTTGTACTTTAATTACAATTAAAAAATAATTAAAAATTACATAAAAACAACTGTCTAACAGAGGAAAATGAAAGAAAAAATATAAGTGATGAACAATAAAAAAATGATATGACCCATTTCCTCTGGTAATCTTCGAAGGAACATTAAATTTAATTTTGTGAGCAGGTAGGAATGAGATACTTTATAATTGGTTACCATAAAATTGTTTTAAATCTTTGTGTTTGGCAAGATAGATGGCTTTCAGTTTAAGAAAAAATAAATCACCAAAAAAAAAGTTTTTTCAAGAGCTTATACATATCTCTAAAAGGAAGCCTTTGGAAGAAAAAGTGTATACTTCAAAATTACATTATTTTGACGAGATCTATCGATGGTTAAACTGCAATCATAAAAAGTAAATTAATATTCTGAAAATAAAGAGGAAAATTTGAAGGCACGTCACTGCCGCGGTAAATTGTTACAGTAGTTCCGATAACTCTCAACAAATATTGTATGGACTGTAATAGTCATAAATTCATTGAAAAAAAGTAAGTCCACTAATGTTTTCATGCTGAAGTTGTTTACATCTATTTTTAAACCTGGATTCTCTGAAAAAGTAAAAGAGGGGGATTATTAGTTATATCACTCAGTTATGACGGTAAAGTATGTCGATCCAGACCTTGCCACTTTCATTTTTTGGATTTGGTAATTAGTCCAAGGTCATAATAGCCGAGTTTAAGTTGGTATCATCGGCAGCATGCTGATCAGCATTATCTTCGTCTTCATTTACGTTCACACTAGAACACAACTGCATATTTTTTTTTGTCTAAAAACCCACTCAGAATCTCTCGTATTTACATATTCTTCCAATTCCTTTTCTATTAATTTTCTTTTATTTGCAATTATATTTATAATAAAACTAAAAAAATACTCTACGTAAATAAAAAAAAAATACTTAAAAAGTACTTACTCTGCATTGCCAACTCAGAAAAATAATTTTTCAATCACTAAAAATAACTAAAACTATTATTTACATAAACAGAGACAAATAATAAAAACTCCCAGTGATCTGTTGATTCATACATTTTATGATAATACGCAATTGCTTCATGTGTAGACATGCCTACTGACTTAGCTCGTAGTTGGCGTATCTAAGCAAAATTCTATGTTAGGCATCAAGTATGAGACAACTCAATAGTATTTTTTGTCAAAAATAAGTTGTTTTTTTTCAAATTGTATAAGATAAATAATATATTTAGACTAATTCCTACTCAAAAATGTGTTTTAAGTAATATTGGGTTTTGAGACTTGTTCAGCCAACCTGGCAGCCAACATTTTAAAGAACCACTACAATGGCATTTTTTCTTCAGTGCGGAAAGGTGGTTTCATTTCCTCTATTTATAAATCTGGTAATAAAATGGATGTCAAAAATTACAGACTAACTAGTATATTAAGGATTAAACTTGTTTTTCATAATGCCTTCATAAAACAGCAATCTTGTTTTATAAGTGGCAAGTGTACTGAACCCAATTTATTGCAGTATACAGATTTCTTGTCTGGAGATTGTAGAGGAAGGAGGAAGTATTTTACAGTGTCTTTTCCTAAACTTTTGACAAGGTCTGTAATAAGTTGCCCATTCACAAGTTAAAGATTGAAGTTTCTCATATTCTTTATCATGATTCAGTCATATATTCAAAATATTTCACAAGTTCTTTTTTTAATATCCAGAAGTATGACTAATAATTTTGTGGATTGGTATAGAAATATTAGGATGGCCTTCATATAGAAACATGTTTTTCAATCATCAGATCGAGAAATAAAATAAATACGTAGATCAATTCTGACATCAGTTGAGGAAATAAGAGATTTATATTCTATGTTTTCTTTCACAGAAGTCATCGAAGCACAACAATAATATCGAAAATATCCAGAAAGAACATTTCCCAGTAGTTACGCAATTGTAATATATTACATAAAACTAACAAGTAGGTAATTAAAATGTTATTATCTTTAATTATTTAATTGTGGCATTTTTTTTTACTGTTTTTATGTAATTGAATTTGCCACACTAAAGAAAATTTTTTACATAAATAACTCCTTGACCAAAAGAATTGGTCAACGAGTTGATTTTATAAATTTAGTTTTGTCTAATCAGAAATATCTCATCCTGAGAAAGTGAATAATTCTTCTAGAGTACACAGTAAGTAACACATGATAAAAACTGTCATATTTGACTTTAAGTCAATTTGAATTTTTGGAATGAATGTAAAAAGGTTTTCAAAAAGTTAACCGAGTCATATATTGTAATGCTTATTGCGTAATCAAGAAAAATTACTTTCTCAGTGTGAGATCTTTTTGATCAGGTGCAAGGAGCTAATTATTTAAAATAGTGAGGAATACCCAACCAAATAAAACAAATTAAAGTTTTATAAATACCAATCAATAAAAGCAATGTCATTTAATTCAACAACATTAATTGTAATATATGTAATCTGGTTAACTAAAAATGTTATAATTTACCAAAATACTTACAGTAACATGATTTATTGTTTGGGTCAGGATGGTAATGATTTGTTGTATCACACTTCTCACACTGGTCTCCAATAATTCCTTTTGTACTACAATAACATTTTCCGGATTCTCTGTGGCAATCATCTGCTTGGTTATTACAACTACACTGAGTACACTTGCCTCCATTTACGGGATTACCCCAATAACCTTTTATACAATATTCACAATGACTTCCTGTTGTTAAATTTCCACAAGACATACACACACTACTATTACCAATACAGTTACTATGTCCATTACATTGACATATTGGGCAAGTAGTAAAGTGCCAAACATCAGACAAACAAGTATTTGAAGGTAATGATTGAGTATGTAGAGTTGGACCTAAAAATGATGTTATCATTTCCAGATATACACTTCATAAAATCTATTTTTTTGAGGTTTGACAACAAATATGAATATAAAGACAGTATTGGCCATGTCTGGATTATAAGGTTTAGAAAAGGGCATATGGCAAGCATAGAGCTATTATTTTTATTGTTAGAACTACCTGTATTAATGTAATTTTTAACGCTTTACATTTATCATTAAGGACAGGTTCTTTAATCATTTCTTTAGTTTCTGTTATATTGAGGTTTGTAATTAAATCATGACCAGCAATATACAGGGTGTCCGCAAATTTCACCAATGTTTGACTGCATATTCACGATGATAAATAAACACGATCTATGAAAAAAAGTTAAATAAATAATTTTTGGTGTTTGAGTTACAGGCCTTCAAAGTTGTCAAAAATAAAACTAATTTAATTAATAACTTCATAACCGTTTTACCGATCGCGTTAAAATTTGGCACATTTATTTGGACTATAATGGCGTATTATTTCTTAAAGCTTTAGTCAAATCAATATACTGGGTTTTCTCCAGTTACCTCCCCCTTTTAGCGGTCAAAACTTTTACAGTGGTCGTATTTTTTTATTGAAAAGGTCGTTTTATTTAAAAAAAAATTGTCTCGAGAAAATCGCCTACAGAAAACCATTCTTGAGAAAAATTGCATTATTTGAAGGTCTGTATGTTTTGGTTTGCATAGTAGTGTCATGGATTTAAAACTTTGAGTTCAGTAGGCGATGAAAACAAAATGTTGATTATTGTGGCTATCAATAGGGTTGCCAACTCGGAAGAGGAGCTAAAGGAGGACCCTAGGAATTTTTTAGCGTTTAAAAAAATATACGATCGTGTAATTGATCTATAGGTACCTATAAATTTATCAGTAATCAGGAAACAGCAAATATTTTTTTACAAAACATATATTAACAAAATAATAAAATAACAAAAATAAACTTAGACTTTTTCTGAAAAATAACAAAAAATAACTTAATAAAAAACATAAACTTATATTTCTTTTGCTTCTAACTGCATCCAAAAATTTTTCATCTGATTTAATAATATCAAAAAACTGCTTTCGGAATTAGCAGAGACAATTAGTTTTGATTTTATTGAATCCAACAAGGCTTTATTTCTTTCATCCCGCCACTTAATATTCATTAAAGAAAAAATTAGCTCAGGAAGCGCAGAAGTTGCAGGAATGCTTAGAGCAAAATAAATCAGAATTAATACATTTTCGAGACCCGTTATATTTTGAAAAATTAATGGCCATTTTTGACTAGTTTTGTAACTATATCAAATTGAAAATGGTAGATCGCTGTCTGTTGTGATCATTCAATATTGCCAGGTTGTGCGCCAATAAATAAAATCTATTTTTTGTTCGTATTTTTGGCATTTTTGGAGAACATTTTAGTGTAAAGGAGGACAAATTGCGTCCTCCGATGTACCTGCGGAGGACGGAGAACATTTTGATCCAAAGGAGGACTGTCCTCCTGGTTGGAGGACGGTTGGCAACCCTAGCTATCAAGGTAATTATTTCATTCATGAACCAGCGGCAAAATTAGAAACGTGTGTTGAAATCTAAATTTTGAAGTTATTGAGCCGGAGTTAATGAAATGGCTGAAGAAGTTGCTGTTTTAAAGTCTTGTGAACATTAGTTTTATATACATTTAATTGTCTTGATACACTGCGGGCACTTCTTGGCTCATTTTCGATAACATTAAGAATTTCTTCTTTACAGTATGTTTTTTAAAATCAGAATCATAGTCTCGTAATCTCCTGTCGGCAAGATAATTGAATGAATATTCCATGTTTAATAAAATTATATTAACAAAAAAAAAAGTTCCTCCTACATAAACTAATGATATACGCCGTCACTTAGAGCAAATGACAATAAATATTACCAGATAGCCACAGTAATCAACACTTTGTTTTCAACGCCTACTGAACTCAAAGTTTTAAATCCGTGATACTGCTATGCAAACCGAAACTAACAGACCTGAAAATAATACCATTTTTCTCAAGAATGGTTTTCTGTAGATTTTCTCAAGAGACAACTTCTTTTTATTAAAACGACTTCCAATTTTGCTGCCCTTTAAAAAAAATACTATTGTAAAAGTTTTGATTGCTAAAAGGGGGAGGTAATCGGAGAAAATTACTACCCAGTATATCAATTTGACTAAAGCTTTAAGAAATAATACACCATAATAGTCCAAATAAATGTGCCAAATTTTAACACAATCGGTAAAACGGTTATGAAATTATTAATTAAATTTATTTTATTTTTTGTTAACATTGAAGGCCTGTAAATCAAAAACCAAAAATGTTTTATTTACCTTGTTTTTTGTAGATCGTATTTATTTATCATCGTGAATATGCAGTCAAACGTTGTCGGTGAAATTTGCGGACACCCTGTATAGGATACCGTTGAAAGTTGTTTTTTTCTTTTAGGTGTTTATGAGTAGACAAATAATTTTTGAAAAAAAAAACCTCAATAAAACTTTTTTTAATAAGTAAAATATTTACATTTAAAACTATTATAACCTCAAAATCCCATTCTTACTGGCTCATCATGAGTCACGACTCTGCAATAGGTTGTACACATTGGTCTCAACAATACAGAACAGTATTGTGTTAAGTAACTTACAATTAGAATTGTACACGGGAGCCAATGGCTGACGACTGACGACTTAAACTTACAATTAGAAGTTGAAATCTGAATATTAAGTTTAGTCTTGCTGTATTAGTATTTCGACAAACTAGATACGTACGACTAGAGATGAATGTATTTTATCATCCGGGGAAATATGCCATAGTTTTTCAGGATGAAATATTTGTCGTCTCTGCATATGCACAAGAAAATCCTAGAAGGGTATGTGTGAATCAGCACATTAGTAGATAGGTAACCTTATATGCGTTTTTATCCCACAGGAACAAGAAAATAAAAAATCTGACCTGTGTTTCTGATCACAGTAACGTGACTGGCAATGAAAGAGCCGATATGTTGGTGAGATAAGACTTAAACACTTAAACAGTACCTCTATAGGACCAGAACCAGCTAGCGCAATTTTATGTAGCGAGTTCCGGTGACAATTGGATAAAAAAATAATCATCATAATGGTCCTGTGGCTTTGGTTTGTATCAGACCAGTGTTCTTCTAAAGGGCCCATGGACTGAAGCAATTTGGAAAATACATGGTAAGTAGAAGCATTATTGCAACAGGATTTTTAACAGGTCAACTGAAAAACACCTCAATAGAATTGGACTGAGCGCAAATGTAAAATGCAGATTGTGCAGATACAATGATGAAGCTTACATACATATCCTTTGCCACTGTGCTTAATTAACAAAAGACACAGATACCTGGGGGCAGTATTTCTATTACCTCAAGACATCAGAGACTGCATCAGAACTAGTGCTTGCCTTTGCATGTAGTATGGGTTTGTTTCAAAAACTCTAACTAGCCGTATATATAACAGCTCCCAAGACTTGAGTGTTGTGGGCTACCTTATTTCACAACAACTGTATTAGAAAGTACCTAATTAGATCAAATTAGTGGTAGATATTATGAAATCGCACACATATACATAAATAATATTTAAGTCTATGATGTGTCCTCTTCTAGACAAGATTTGGCTAAAGCAGACATGGGATCCAATTTTCTGGTTTGACGGGTCGAAAATATTGCCTGTTAAAATTATTTACAAATGTGTTTCTACTATGGCCAGATAATGAAGGTGCCAACATATCTTAACCAACACATGGGTTTAAACTTGGAGGAATCGATAGCTTTTGTTTCAGTCTTCCATGAAAATGTTTGCCAAAAAGGAGATAGAGGCAATCCCATTGAAGCGCTTCAACCTGTTTTTATATCCATGTCACTCAGTGATATATTCAAAAAATTACGAATGACAGTGGGATCTAGTTTAGCATGTTTTTGAGAATTAATGAGTTGCTGCAGTTTACGTCTCTGTTTTGTGAGTAGCAATGTGTTGTGCAGTAGTAATGTCAGGAATACGATTAAACATGTCTCATATAATTGTATATTAATCTTGTCTAAGTTTCATCTTGCGCCATGTATTGAACTTCTAAGTAGTGACAAATTTGCCCTGATTAAAATTTTAGCAATAGAACATGATTTGTTATAGTGTTTCAGTTGTAAGCATAATGATATTGTCACAGCAAGCTTTCATAAAGGTAAAGTCATAAAGAAGGTGCTGTTTACAAATAAGGAGATTATTATAGGTTTAGCTGTGAAGATTTTCTCCCCATAGGAAATTAGGTTCTCGGGTTGAACTAACCCAGATTGTTCATATCTAGACGTTTCTGCTCCAGTTTTGAAGCCACTTTGAATAATTAGAAGTTAATTAAATTTTTAAAGGAAAAAGGATGGGAAGGGATGATCGGACGATACTAACTCATCAATCTATGTACTTCTCGGATCGAACCGTCGGGGATCTCTAAGGAGCCGGTTAAAGAGTCTCTGAGAGCCTCGATCTGTCTACTCCAGAGAAGGTGAAAATGTGAAGGTAAAATATCTAAATGGTGTGAATATTTAAGTTGTAATATGATTACCAGACCTCAATCTGCCTAGGCTGTTACAAATTCGCTTCTCACTACAGGGATCTCGGAAACTGTAAGAGGTACGAAGTAGCTTAAATGGGGGCAAAGTTGCATAATAAGGGGACCAACATTATGCCTCAAGAAAATCAAGGCTAATATGAGCTAGTTTTCGAAATATTAAAAAAAAAAACAAATTTTGGAAATCCGTTTTTGTTTCATTTCAGTCTTCAGCCCTAATGTTTCGTCTCTTCATGACCATCATCAACTTCATTTTTTTAAATACGACCTTGGAAATTTTATTACACTTTTTGCAAGCCTTCATGACCTCCAATTCTGTACTGCCTCAGCCCGAATCAGATTCAGACGTTTTGTATCAAAAAATTCATCCCCAATGTATTCCTTTCAAATTTATCTAAATTTTTTATTTAGATTTCTGTTTAT